ATATTAATAGCTGGACGGCTGATATCGAGAGAGACACGGGTGAGCGCCAGCCTAGAGCAAAAGGCGGTGCCGTGTCAATGTCAATTGCCAACGGAATTTCTGGTAATCTTTTTCTTTTTCTTTGCCTTAATCCCAACTACTTGAGGTCGGCCACCTTTATCCTAAGCTTCCACTTGACACGATCTCCCACATCTTCTACGCCACATCAGCTATCCTCGTGTCGCATTCAATAACAACCCTCAATCTCTTTTTTGGTCTTCCTCTACCTCTTCTTCCTTTAATATTCATTTCTATAACTGTTCTTAAAGATTCCAATTCTTCTCTCCTCATAACATGACTAATCAATCTAAGTCTATTTTCTGTCATCTTATCCACGATTGAAGCAACACCTATACTCGGTCTTATATGCTCGTTCCCTATTCTTGTCACTTCACTCATCCATCTAAGAATCCTCATCTCTGCTACACTTATTCTCTGCTCTACTTTCTTATCAACCGCCCAACACTATGAACCATACATCATAGCTGGCCTCACAATTTCATACTGAATTTAAAAACTATAATTAGTATTTATTCATATATTATTGTTGTAAAACAAAAATAAGAAAAGAGAAAAGGGGGGATTTAGGATTGAAATGAGAGGGGAAATATGCGGGATCTGACTCTTCACTCGGGCGTATTGATCGAGGGTCTATCGTTGTAAAATAAAGCATACAGGTTGAGTTCAAATAGTGTTACCTGAATATTTATGTTATCCTTAATGCCGAAGACAGGATTTATGTAATAATAATTTCAACACAAAACAAGTTGATGTCAATTATCAAATGATATAATTATTGTAACTTATTACACAAAATACACAAAAGTGATTCGTATGGTTTTTAGAAATACTACATGAAACTTAAATAAAATATTTGTACACACTAATTCAAATATTGTCAATATTACATAAACGATACAGAGAAAAAATGCGGAGTTTACTTATAAAACTGGACGTGTTCTTTCCGGAGTACGATCGAAACAGGCCGTGTCAGACGAGCCCATGGAGTCCTTTGGTGTCCTTCCAAAGTCCCCTTCCAGACACGTACATGAACATCAGCCTTACATTTATTTAGATTCTTTGTTACTATTTGGCTGACATTGTAGAAGTATTTTGTAAAACTACTGGATTGTACATGTTGGGAAGGAACGGATGTGTGTGCATGGCGTGATTGTGTGTGTATCTGCAGTCAGTGATAGAAAGTGTTGATTGTGTTTTGTAATTTATTGGTGTGTGGGTAGAAGATGAAAGAATAACAGAAAAACATTTTGTTCGGTTGTGTGAAGGGCCTATTAAAACATTATATTTTAAAAACAAAGAACTACTAATCAGGATATAATTAAAGAAATAAGAGTTGATGTTGCTTTTGAAAAAATCCACCAAATTCTCTAAATTTTTCAAAAAAGACTAAATCAATATAAATTTTTTTTTTTAAAAATGTATAATGACTTTACCTATCATCTGGTATATTTTTTTAATAAATATGACCCTTTACCTGGCCATAGAGTAGGATTAAAAATGATAACTTTTTCACAAAAAATTAACTTTTTCAACTTAAATTTTGAAAATGTTCTGGAAATACTGACATTTTTATATATATCTTAAATAAAAGTTTATTTAATATACTTTAATATAAAAATAAAAATTTCGAACTACATTTTGACTTCAAGGTGAAAATGGCTACTATTTTTGTGTTAAAATTCTCGATTTTATATTTTATATTTTTAACTTTAAATTTCTATAAATTTTTAAAAAATGTATAAATCAATACAATAGTTAAATGAAAAATGACATTTATATACCTCTTTCATTCGACATACTTTTTTTTTAAATCGAACCATTTTCCTTATTAAAGTGGGGGTTCAAAACTTAAAAATGCATATAAAAGTTTAACTTCTTCAACTTAAATTTTGACATTTTTATACTGAATATATCTTAAATTAAAGCTTATGTTATATAATTAATTATGAAAAAAAAACAATTTAGACTTTATTTCGTTTTCATGGTGAAAACGGACATCAAAGTTAATAAAAAAAAATACGATATTTGTAAAAAAAATTTTTTTTTTATATGTTTAACTTTATAATGCTATAACTTTTTGAAAAATGTATGGATCATAATAATTTTTTTTAAGAAAATTACTATTTATATTTTTATTTTGTACAACATACTTTTTTTTAAATCGGACCATTTCCCTTTATTTCTCTAACATTAAAAATAAGGGTATTTAATAAATGTATTACAATATACTATTTTACATATTTTAGGTAGTAACACAGAACGAAGATGACAATGAAAATCTCAAAAGTTCTGTAGTTAATTTAAAGAAAGAAATTTATGATGAATGTAATGATTTAACAATTATTGTAATAATTCATATACTTTATTATATTATTGTATTTTTTAGATGACACACTATTCAGTTTAAGTGATGTACTGATAAAAGTATTATTCTACAAGGCACAACTGAACAATAAAGAATTTGGTAAACGTTACAATTTTGAACCCTGTTATAATGTAATATATAAAATTTCAAAATTGCATCCTCCAAATGATATATATATATCTTATTACGGATATTTTTAACTATTATTTAAAATATTCTACAATTATAAAAAATTGTAATCCCTACATCCAATAATTTATTGTATTTCATTATTATTATTGCATTAAGTTTATTTAAATTTCATTTTCAATTTATTGTAGATTCTGTGCCGCACTCGGTTTATTTGTACTTGTAATTGCTTAAATTAATCCGCCAATCTTATTATTTCGACAGAAATATAAACGGTATGTCTGTTAAATGTCATAAATTCTTTTTGGCATCTATTTTATTTGCATATCCTCATAATATTTTTAAGTTACGTTAAATAAAAAATAATTTGGTTTCGTCAATTTTTGTTCTTAAAACAGTGTTTTAACAAAAAAAATTCATAGAACTAATGTAGAAAATTTTTTTAAAAATGTTAATGCGAAAATGATAAATGAATCTTAAACAATAGAGTTTTAGACAAATGCCTTTCCCTGTAGGTGAACATACAACAGTATCAATCAGTTTTTAATACTCCCCTATTCAAAAATTTGCACTCCCAGTTATTTTTATAAATTTTACATTTATTTAAAAATGAAAAGTTCAATAATAGTAATTTACATAATTCCAGTCTTATACTCAAAAGAAATCATTTTAGTACCCTCCAAGAGTCAAATTTCTTATATCAATACTTGATTTTGAACTTTACGATAAACATTGTATTCATTGATTTTTAATTACACTGATGTAATTTTTAATAATTTACTANTTAATTACACTGATCTAATTTTTAATAATTTACTAACTTTAAAATAAATATTACTGTAATGTGAAATAAAAAAAATGTATTTAAATATAATAGTTTTTAGTACAAGTCTTAAGTAGTAAAATTTAAATATTAGCTTCGATGCGTAGTTGAGAAGATATTTATTTTATTCAGCCATGTATAACTTATTAAAATACCTTTAAACCCATTATTGTGACATCTCAGCTTTTGGATATAAGCTACAAAATCAATGCTAACTAGTATTACTGTATTTGACAAGAAATGCTATTTGTATAATGGACACGGACGAACTATACGTATACCAGTACGAGATG